TGGACAAATAATCTAAAGGCCCACGCTAATGCCCTGGAGCTGCAGCTTCAAATCCCACCACAGTAACTGATGGAATTTGAATTTGTGAAATATTATGGAGCCACCATTGTTAAAACCAATTTGGTTCACTATTGTCCTTCCTTTAGGAATGAATGTCTGGTCTGTTTGCATTCAACTCCAGATCCACAATAGTGTGATTGACTCTTAATTGTCTTCTGTTATGCCTTACTGGGATAGCATGCTACAAATAAAGCCCTGCTAATCATGAAGTGTCACAAAAGTTAAAAGATTTTATATAAGTATGCAAAATTCCACACTTAGATTCAGGCTGACAGACCAGGTTCCTGTACTTATCAAGAATCACTATTTACTGTAAATAAATAGATATAATCGACAGATAAATATTTATGAACTAGCAGCATATAACTTTACTAGATAAAGCTTTAATCCCATTCTGAAACTCCCTGCCACATGAATATATCCAAACAGAAAAGAAAAGAGGTGTCATGGCAGAGGGAAAGACTGGGAAGGCACTTCAGTGGTCCCTTGCACAGGGTTCATTGAGGTGATCCTTTTTGGCTTGTCAGGTCCTGCTGCTGCTTGATCTTACTTCTCCATGTACTTTCATTTGCCTGCAGGAGACATAAAGTGACTGGTTCACACTTTAAGTATTTGACTTTTGTTAAGAGCTACAACTTAGAGTAACTGATGAGGGAGAATGATGTGTTTTGCTGCAGAGAGAAGTTTAACTCCTTCATTTCCAGAAGTCCAATGGCTTCTGCCCAAACATTCACACCCGCAAGCTGTTCAGATACCTGGGAGCCGGTTACATAGTTGTTGATAGTCAGAAGGCCTTTGACATTGGAAACTTGTTGCCTGCTGAATCTTTTCATATATGTCATGCAATAACCTCCCCAACTACTTAAACAAACAGTAGCGTAAACAGCACTTTACAATGAGTGTCAAGTAACTTGCTTTTAAAAATGTGCAGTAATCCTTTCCAAAATCCTGTTTATTAGATTTTGAAAGGAACCCAAAAGGCAGAATCGGTAATTATGTGAAGCTGTGTTGAAAGTGCATACAAGTGGAGAATGTTCAAACGCATCCAGCGTTATATTTTGTAGTTGAGGGGCATGCTCTTGAGTGTCATCAATGCGTTGCTCATCATACAACTCTTGCGGCTTCTGCTTGTATGCAAATTTGGTGGGCCACATAGAGTAGTCAGGTGTGTTAATAAAGTGCTGATAAATATACCATTTTCTTAGGCAGAAGAATCAGTTTTGTCACATGCTAAAAATGTATCATAGGGAAGAGGGTAGGAAGTAACAAGTGTTTCAGGTGGTAAGAGTCGTGGAAGATGACAGATGAGAGTGAAATAGGAGGAGGGCTGGACAGTTCTCAATGCAAACTTTCTCTAATTTGACTAGCTAACACAGAAATATAAGACACTTAGACAGTGGTCCTCGCTAGAGAAATGGCAACAGAGAATCTTGTAAATCAACTAGACTTTGTTTGTTTCACCAAATGGGTTATATCAATATCGGGTAGTTTCAAGAATGGCCCAGTTATGTTCCAAAGGTTCATGAATTGAGAATAGCTGAGGTTCATAACTGTGTAGTGTACTTGGAATGTTGTATTATATAGTAGCACTCGGGAAGATCGTGTGAGACAAGATGGAGACCTGTTTAAGCAATTATTGTTAGCTAGCTTAGGGATAACTTCAGCCAAATTGAATTTGTGGAAGCAAGAGTAACTTAGCTTGGGGGGGAGGGGGAGAGAGTGCATACTGTTGAAAAAGAACAGTTGTTGCCAAGGACAATGAAAGAAAAAGATCTAATAGAATTCCCTGTTTCTAAAACTAGATGAGAAACCATGAGTTCTTTAGGAATAGGTAGATTTTGCCAGAATGTGTTTGTAATTTCACAATGACAAATGTACCTTAACAAATTTGTGAAAGAAACCAGCAAAAGTGGTATGGTCAGCAGAATGCCAAGGAGCGTTTAAGAAGCTGAAGGCAATCTTAAGTGAACCAGAGTGGGCAGTCACTGATTTTTTTTTAAGGCATTTCAAAAAGGCAATTGATGCTAGTAGATTGCCGGTTAGATGTTGACTTGTTACAGGAAGGTGAATCGTGGATAGAGAAACCAGTGGGGTGGTTCTTTAAGAAACTAAGCCATTATCAGAAATAAGCATTCTTATCGTGGAAAATGAGACTGAGAGATTGTTATTAACTGTTCAACACTTTTGACGAGTAATCTGACATGGTAACAGAAGCAGTAATTTAACGTTGATCTTAATCCATTAGCCTTCATTGTAAAGTTTAAAACTTATAATGTGAAACTGTTCAAATGAAGTCTTTTGTTACAACCGTATAACGTGAAGATTATTCATTTTAATGGTGAAGCTAATGTAACACAGATGCATTGTTTCTGAATGTAAATGTTAGAATAAATTAAAGGCTGAAGAAATGGTAAGATTGTGTAAGGTTGTATAACAGAGGAGAAAGAATGAATACATGCAGGTCTTGTGTTTTGTTATTTGTGTATCACATGTTTGTAAGGAAGCACACAAGTTTGAAATTGTGCTACATTTTCTTAAGGGCAGGAGCGTGTAAATATTGTTTTTGTGCTTTTTTTAAAATTGTGGCCTGAAATGAG